CAGGGGCAGACTGACCATTTGGAGACACGGCACTGCCCGAGGGCCCGGGGTCAGTAGGGGGCCCCATAAGATGCCCCTGGTACCTTTTTCATAGGCTTTTTTGAGTTTGGGCAAGGACACAGGGGCCCCATGATCCCCTATTGCCCGGGGGCCCCATGAGTTGTCAGTCCGCCCCTGTACATAAGTGATTTAACAAGTTACAGTCTGACCCCAGCTAAAACTTTTTAGGCAGTTACAGAAACAGTTCTTTCCTTTTTGGATAATGACTTTACATAAATGAATACAAGCTGACCACTGTGAGCACTCCTGCCATTAATTTCTGGACCAGTGTTTTATTTTATTTTTTTTTAATGACTATAGGAGTTTTTCTTAAGCACGGGTTCCCAAAACAGCCCCATTGATTTAAACGCATTACTACATGATAGAAGATGAAAGCTTACTGATAGCAGCAGTGCTATTTTATTTTTCAGATATTATAACCCCTTCATTATTGTAAGAACAGTGCAGCTGACCATCATAGATACAGTTAAGCCTTTTATTGAATAAGAGAATGTAGCTCTACGTAGGGTAGATTTGTCCATGGATTAGGGAGTAGGTCATTCTTTTGTGCCAGACTCTTAGCAGCTGTGGAAGGAGCAGGCAGAGAGTAGTTCTGTAGACAGAAAAAGTACAGGTAAGAAGAAATCATTCTTTCTCTGCAAACATCACCATAGTGACAAGTTCAAGACTTTGACGTTCTCGTCACCTTCCTATACTAAAGGACATTTTTCCTCTATGGAACACTTCTCAGAGACCTTTAGCCTGCACATTTTCCCAGACTTTAAGAGCTTAAAATCCACGTTAAACAGTATTCTATAAATAAAAAAAACAAAAACAAAACCCATTTTTCTGCAATGTGCACTCAATCCAGAGCTGAGTCCTGCAGTAATTCTGTTCTATCACTAAGTGTCGTCAGTCTTCCAAACTGAATGACAGCCAGGGTCATTCAACCCACTTTCTCTTAGAATTGGCTGTCAGGTACCTGTGACCAGTGGTGTATTTAGGTTTTCTGCTGCCCTAGGCAACACAAAAATCAGACGCCCCTCCTCCCCTGCGTAGAGAGCCTGACACCAACCAACACCAGACCCCCTTCCCCCCCCTCCGCAGAGAGAGCCTGAAAGTGACCAACAACATCACTGCCCCATCACCCCCCGTCCGGGGGAAGTGCTGCCCCCCTAAAAAATGCCGCCCTAGGCAAATGCCTTGTTTGCCTTGTGGTAAATACGCCCCTGCCTGTGACAGCCTGGGATCAGACTACTACTGCACTGATAAGTGCCTGCACATTATTACATTAGCTCTGTTTGGTGTGGCAGCAAGGATCACCCATCACCACCAACAAAAGCGAAAATTAAGTACCAGTTATCATATTGGACTAGCTAGAGGACCCTTGAAAAAATGTATATATGTTCTGAATATGTTCTGGCAGCACTAGGGTCGTTGGTTCGAATCACAACCATGGCACCACTTGCCTGGAGTTTTGTTATGTTATCCCTGTGCCTGCGTTGGTTTCCTCTGGGTACTCTGGTTTCCTCCCACACTCCAAAGACATGCTGGTAGGTTAATTGGATCCTGTCTATGTTAGCCCTAGTATGTGTATGTATGAATGTACATTAGGGACCTTAGATTGTACACCCCTTGAGGACAGGGATTGATGTGAATGTACAATATAAATATAATGTAAAGCGCAGTGTAAATTGATGGCACTATACATAAGTACCCTCTCCTAGATATGTGCTAGGTTAGGTAAACAGCTCAATTTTGTACTAATTTCCTTGTCTCCAGTTTTCTTTTAACAGCACAAATAATTCTCAAAGTGGGAGATTTGGTATAGTCTCTACGTCATAATAGACTTCACCATTAGATGGTGCTACAGGAAAACGTATGCAGGTTGTGATCCTGCAATAACCTTCAATAGTTTTTTTTTTCTGAACCAGCAATAGCTTTCCTAGTTCAACTAAAACACCTAAAGCTAAAGTTTAGTGATTTCTTTTCTCATTTAAATCATCACCAGAGACAATACCTACATAAATGTAATGTGATCTTCTGGTTCCGGGGTGGTTAATATGAATTAGACATGTGCATTTCATGACAAACCAATTTTTTGGACAAAAGTTTTGTTTGGAGATTCGGATGTATATGAATCTCTGAATGGACATAGCAACAAATGTAAACAAATCCAAAAAAAAAGTTTTAAATGAAATTAACGGATGCATTTATTTCATTTGGATGATGTCAATTTTTAAAATTGTTTGATAATTTTGATTTGAGTATAGTTGTGATTTAAATTGAATTTTTTTTAATTGTCACAGTCAGTCAGCTCAGTTCCACAATCAAATGCAATTCTTAGGTTTGAAAAATCTGTGGGCTCCAAATTTCGCATAATTTTTTTCTGTTGTGTATTCCACCCGAATAGTTTTGATGAATGAATAACGATTCCACTAGCAAAATTGGAAACCAATAACTAATATATAGCAATCTTCAAAAAAAAAATGCTAAATATTTACAATCCACCCAGACCAACAAATATATGAAATGAATGCAAAATGTAAGGAAACAAATCCTGAAAAGGAATCATTTCAACATAACGAATATGACAAAAAAAATCCTTTAACCTCCCTGATGGTATTCCCGAGTGTAGCTCGGGGTAAAGTTTCAGTACCACAAGCGGTAACCCCGAGCTACACTTGGGCTTACCATGCGGCGCTGCTCCGCAATCTCTCGATCACTTACCTTGTCCTGCGCTCCCGCGATGTCCCTCCTGCAGTGTCGCCGGCAATGTAATCCAGCGAATGCCGGCATCTGTCTTCTGGGTTCCGTCCCCTGCGACCAGCTAGAGAACAGCAATAGTAAAATTAGAACTACTTTGCAGAATTGAGTGATAATGATTTGTGGGGAAATTTGTCATCAGACACTGAAAACGATTTTGCGACTTTTTTCTCAGTGATGTGCGAACTTGGTGCTATATTTCAAATTTCAGTGTTTTTGGTTTGATTATTATTGAATTAAATTTATTATTATTATTTTTTATGATTACACTATTCAACAAAATTTTATTTTTTGCCAGTTTTGGAAACAAAAGGATCCATTTCTTAACACTGAAAACGATTTCACATTCTGAGTTCAAATATATAACAATGAAATTTGTCAAATTGGCTCTAGTTTTTCTGTAAACGGAAAGTTTTCTTCTATAGGCGTAATGACTACATAATGCACAATAATTATATAGATAGATGTCTTTCCACAAATATAAAGCAAGTGATATTGACTACATAACAAAGCCTAAATGGCATAATATATTGCATAGGATTACCAAGAAAAATTATAGCCATAATAAAAAAAATACATTATTTCCATGCTAAGTTGAATTATTTTAATACTTAGGATTCTCACTAGTTTTGTCTTCAGTTTGTGTCGGTTTTCCTTCTCTTGGCTTTTCTCTTGTATTCGAGGAAAGGGCTATCTCTTACAACTGCACGTGACTACACGCTTCAGGTTCTTCCTCACTTGACTCAACCACGAAGGATTCTGGTGCTTTAGGAATTGGTAGCCCCTCTCCATGAGGAACTGGATGTATTGCCGATGGAATATTTGGATAGTGCACAGATAACTTTTTCTTCTTATTTAGCCCTTTTACAATTGGAGGCACCATACAAAAGTAACAATTACTAACATGATCTGTTGGCTCTCTCCAAATCATTGGCACAGCGAAAAGGCATAGATGCCTTTTTTCCATTCAACCATTGCTCCAGTGCCGTCCCACAAGAATTGCAGCATATATGTGGTGCCCAGCTCTTGTCCTGGTCTCCTATCTTGCAGCCAAAATACAAGTTGTAGGCTTTCTTAATCATTCCTGTTTATCCTCCTTTTTGTGAGATAAAAGTTATTTCACCGCAGATATAGCAGAAATTATCTGCTTTATTCACACAAGTTCGAGGCATTACTGAGTAGCCTATATAAGCATAAAACGAAATGTAAAGACGCTGTCGAACTACAATCAGCTACAGATACTGCAGCTTTTATGCAGTGAAGTGATGCAATTAAAGGCTAATATTGCATCATCTCAGTATACATGCAATTTTCTATGGTCACCAGTATCAATTGCGCAATATGCAGCTGAAGTTGCTTCATAATTTTGAATGGCTTAAGTCATTAGATGGGTGAATATATCATGGAAACTAGAGCCAATCAACATTTTTTAGGGTCATTTTCGTTTTCAGCAGCACCCCAAAATTATGTAAGATTAGCTAATTTTATGCCCAAAACTTTTTACCTGTTGAACAGTGTTATTTATTAAATTATAATTTATGATTTTGTGTTTCAAGTTTTATCCTACCCGGGATGTTTACTAGACTCTTGTTTGAACAGATTTCAGTGAGTTATTCCTAAAAATTACAGGCCTAGAATAAAAAAAATACATATTTCCATGCAAAAAAATGTACCGCTTTGAGCACAGAAATATGGACATAATCAGACCGCTAGGGAGGTTAATGAATGAATGCATCCGAAACAAAACAAACATTTCTGGAGTGCACATCTAATATGAACAGCTACAGCTGTGACAGTTACTCATCAAAACTACCGACTATATCTTCCCTTTCTGCCCCATCCTCCATTTATAGAAGCCCTACTATTGGTTCCCACAATATAAAGTTCTATGTGAATGGAGGATCGGCAGATACAGCTCTTTTCGTTGTGGGAACTGATAGTACGGCTTCTTAAAAGGGAAAAGGGGAGCAGAAAAACATGGCATAGTCGACACTGTTGATGGTGTAGCCGCTCATATTAACCCCTGCAGCACCAGTAGATCACAGCTACAGAGGAAACCTGGGGGGGGGCAGATGGGATACTCTTCAGGCATGCAAGTACCATTCCTGGTGCTGATTTAAAAAAAAAACACTAAACTTCAGCTTTAAGAAAAACACATTTCATGGGATGGGCTTCTAATTAATTTGCAGTATTTTTCACAAGAAAATATAAACAAGGTTAATTGGAATATATAACTCTTTTATGAAAGATAAAAGAAATAGAAGGAAAGGCAGTACAATACCTGATGTAGGAGAACATTTATTTAGCATGGACACAGCAGAGTAGTAGGAGTTCCCCAGGAAATCTTCTATTGTGGTTTTCTGGTCAACCTCAAGCAAGCATTGAGTAGAGTCTTTAAAGAGAAGGTCCTTTCCTTCCTTTGATCCAAACAACTGAAAATTCTGTCTCTGGCTTCCATTTCGCCCAAACTGAGCCTGAAAATGTGCAGCAAAATGTTTAGTGATGCATTTGTTTTAGACAAAATAGAAGACACAACATTCTGGAATCACTTTCATTCTGGAAAATTCAATTTATGAATTCAGCAGTGACGTTTTTTTTGAAGTATTAATAATATATTGGACCTGTATCATGCAGCTGAAAGAGTTACAGTGGATTCATGCTGTTTTAAGAAAAATTTTGAGGTCATTAAATGGTATTACCACTGAAAATGTGAATTTTGGAAAAATGCTGGAGCGTTAGTTACCCATTTACAGTAGTAATCTAGAAACTAAAGATTCCTTCATCCCACTACACGATAGTTCTTTCTACTCAATAGGGCTCATATACACAGGCTCATTCTTCAGTAGAGAACAAGACAAACTAGCATATATTGTGCCTGGGATTTCCTGGTTTCTGGCCCGGGTGTTCTAAACTGGGTAGGAAATTTATATCTCTGCACATGTACCACTTTACACAAATAGTGATACACAGCTGTGTACAGCCGCCTGCAACCATTCATGCCCATGGGTGTCTGTATACAGCAACAGGAACTCCTTTACGCTGTACTGGAAAAAGCTCCCATGCGCATGAGCCTTAAATTCAGTAAAACTGCAAATACGCAGAATAAAAAATATATGTATATTAAAATATATACTGTGTATATACACTATATTGCCAAAAGTATTGGTACACCCCTCCAAATCATTGGATTCAGGTGTTCCAATCACCTCCATGGCCACATGTGTATAAAATCAAGCACCTAGGCATGCAGACTGCTTCTACAAACATTTGTGAAAGAATGGATCACTCTCAGGGGCTCAGTGAATTCAATGTGCAATAAGTCCATCAGTGAAATTTCCTTGCTGCTAAATATTCCACAGTCAACTCTTAGTGGTATTTTAACAAAGTAGAAGCAACTGGGAACAACAGCAACTCAGCCATGAAGTGGTAGGCCATGTAAAATGACAAAGTGGGATCAGCGCATGCTGATGCGCACAGAAGTCTCCAACTGTCTGCAGAGTCAATAGCTAAAGACCACCAAACTTCATGTGACCTTCAGGTTAGCAACAATGCATAGAGAGCTTCATGGAATGGGTTTCTATTGCTGAGCAGCTGCAGCCAAGCTTTACATTGCCAAATGCAATGCAAGATACTATATTCTGTTATTTTATATTTTATTGTATTCAATTCTATTCTATTATTTTCTATTCTATTATGTTCTTTATTGTCTGTTCCATTCTTTTCTATTCTATTATAATCTATTCTATTCTTGTCAAATTTGAGTCAAATTTGAATCAAATTTCTTTTCTTTTCTTGGCCCTGAATGGCCAAGGTGACAGTGCCACTTTAATTAATCTCTCATGAATACCTAATTGCATTAACTGGTATTTTCTTGTATTTTGCTGGCGTTCATCTTTAATTATTGATAACAAATGTTTCTTAGTTTATTATTAATAATAATAACAATAATAATAATTATTATACAGGATTTCTATAGCACCAACAGTACAGTAAATAAAAATAGAGACACCAGAATGTACAGGGTGTAACAGATCTTCAGTAATAGGTCCTATCATCCAGATGAAACCAGTAGCAATAGTATATAGGGAATAAGTCCTTGAAGGAGTGTGGTAGCAGTGGAGAAAATGTGCAAGTGGGTAGAGCATACAACAAGGAGGTGGCCTACTTCTGATTATTATTATACAGGATTTATATGGCGCCAACAGTTTGCACAGCGCTTTACAAAATGAAAGTAGACATTTAGTTACAATAGAATTTGGTACAAGAGGAAACTGGGCCCTGCTCGTTAGAGCTTACAATCAAAGGGTTGAGTGATACAAAAGGTAATAGCTGTGGGGAATGAGCTTATGGAGGAAATAAAAAGCAATTTACTAGTTAGAAGCAAGATAGGCTTCTCTAAAGAGAAAGGTTTTCAGGGATTGTCTAAAGGTGGATAAATTAGGAGATAGTCTGACAGATTGGGGTAGGGAATTCCATAGGATGGGAGAAGTCCTGGAGGCAAGCATGGGAGGAGGTCACATAGGAAATAGAAAGCAGAAGGTCTTGGCAGGATCGAAAAGTGTGGTTTTTTCAACCAAATTATTATGAGAATAGTTCCTGAGGACAAGATCTATTGTCAACAGAGGGAATAAAAAAAAAGAAAAAAAGAGAAAAAAAAGGAGGGGAGCAGGTAGAGGGGGAGATGGGGTAGCAAGGGAAGCAGAAAATGAACAGAGGGGGTAGGTTAGAAGGGGGGGGGGGATATAGCAAAGCAGATTTCCACAGCCTCCAATTGTCCAGAGGGGGCAACATGCAATAATCACTTTTTATAGTCTGCTGACACCCATCGGCATCCGATCCGATCCTGTACACCAAAAACAGACGGATTGGGATCCATTCCCCATCCGTCCAGTGGATCAGATCGGATGACAATTGAGTGGAAACAGAGAGGTGGTCCATTTCCATCTGACCATCTCATTGAGATCAGCAAGCAGTGCCTGTGTCTGCTCTGCAGCAGTGCAGCGGGCAGAGACCTGTCATCCGCCTGCTCAGTGCGGATCAGCGGAGAGATTCCCCACCGAGCAGACAGATCACACTGATGGATCCGCCCCGTCTGAAAGGGACCTAAAGGGAAAAAAGGCCAAACATTCAGGTTTGTGTTCATTTACAGTTCATCTCTTTACCTTAAGAAAAAATCTCACAATCATTGATGGTCAGTGGCATTTTAACCCCCCCCCCACAAACAAACACACCTTTAATAAAAAATAATGACATCATCATTGGTGGTCAATGGCCCAACTATAGGCTTACTGGCCACCCAAGTGTATTTTCATAATCCATAAATGGCACTCCATAAATTAACATTCATCTCTCTGTTTTTTTTATAATACAGCGATATATTATTATTATTATTATTATTATACAGGATTTATATAGCGCCAAGTTTGCTCAGTGCTTTACAATATAACGGGAGACAATACAGCAACAATACAGTTCAATACAAGAGGGATAGGAGGGCCCTGCTCCTTGGAGCTTAAATCTAGGAGAGTTGATTAAATGATTAAAAATCAACATGAATGTAATAATATTGTATTACTGTGATAATGTATTGAATATATGGATTGTCAGTTACCTGCTGTTCTCTAACAATTCTTAAAACACTGCTCCGTTTATTTGGCCGGGAAACTACAGCATGTGCTGGTACTTCTGCCAGGTGGCAATTCTTGTAGTCCGTGACTGACGCACGAGATCCATTGGGGCACAACAGCTCAAAATCATTGGGCTTAAGCTTTTTTGCCCAATCTGCAGGATTCCTGCCTGAAAAAAAGGAGATTTACAATATTGGTATTAGGTGAGAGGGGGTGGGTTAAAGTACACAGACAAATCAAAAAAAAAAAGGAACACAACTTCACAGCTAGCGACAGTTTGTAGAAGAAAGTTTCATACTTATATGATAGGAGAAATTCAATGCAGGAGAGGGATAAGTAACCCCACCCACTCCTTCCCATATGGTAAATAAAGCCAATCAGGGAAGTCATGTGTATCAAGTAGGCGGAGCTTCATATCAAAGAGAAGTCTTGGAAGAATGAAGTCTGCTGGACAGGCGGTGCAGCCTGCTGATTCATTGTTAAGGTTGATATTAGATATGATGGGTGCATATTCTGAGTGTATAGTGGGGTACATACTGCAGTGAGGTGAGTGCTTGGTTGGTGAATACACATCTGTGCAGTTTAGGTGTTTTGCAGGTATGGTACATTTGCAAAGTCCTGCTTACATTGTCTTTTGTGTATTTATTAGCAATGCACACCTTACGAATAGTAATACAAGTAAAAAGCACCTAAAACAGGCTTTCTCAACCTGCTAACCCCAGAAGAACCCTTGAAATACATTTTCTGGTCTTAGAAAACCCCTGCTAAAATGAATTAAATGGGATTAAAGCAAATAATGTCCCTTATATTGGCAATCAGTGGGAAACATATCTCCCCTTACAGTAGTCCTCAGAATGTCCCCCTTAGAGACGGCTAAAAAGAGAATTGGTATCATGCTGCTGGCTCTGCCAAATGGCAATGGACTGAAAACTATGCAGGCACCATCAGGTGAAAGGTCAACCAGCCACAGTTTAAGGAACCCAATCAACCTCTGAAGGAACCTTGCTTGAGAATGGTTGACCTTCAATGTACAATGGACCACAATGCATAATGCGACAAGAGCCTTGGATGGAAAAATAATAATTGTTTTGGTCACTATCCACAACCATTTTGCATAGCATTTATTAGAACTTCAGAACACTGTGCTGTAGGTCATACACTCCATGCTGGTAATTGTCACAGCATTGTCTTATTAATAGACTAAAGTTATTTGTACACTTGGACTTCTGAATTTCACTCATTAGCGAATAGGAGCAACTTTACTAGTAAATGTACATAAAGAAAAAAGACGTAAGAAGAGCTTCACAGTTAGCTCACTCTACATTTCTGTGAATTGCGATCTTTGTAATGAGGTTTGGCACAGTACATTCTCTCATAGATGATATAGGCCGCAACTAATCTTGTCTTGGAAAGCCTTTTTTCTACAGATGGGGCATTTCTGGGAAGTTCTTCAGGTAATCTACCCATATGGAAGGTCTGCATGCATTTTATGACCCTCTATGAATCAGTCAACCTCTTAGAAGCAGACAAACACGTAAAGTAGCTTAATGTCCTTATTCAATTAGGGCTGAAAGTCTGAAACTGGATCAGCCTGTGAAGTGGTTTGGAACTAAAAATTAAGAATTTCACACATTAGGCTATTGCAAGTGATTGCCGTTGCAGGATCTGTTCCAGCAGCCATAACCACCTGCACAGAAAAACAAGCTGCCACTGAGGGGATGTGTGTGGGTGCCATTAAACCTAAGAGCACTTACTGAAAATTGCAGCAGCCGCACTGCGAACAACACTGTACTTGTGGTTTCCATGCAGGTTGTGGTTGAAGAAGATTGAACAGGGACCCTTTCCCTGCATTTTCAGGAGGCATGGCAGCCATTTCAAATGAATAGGCCCGGGCAAAATGTGGCTCACAGAGCCACTAAAGTGTGAACCTAGCCTTAAAGTAGATGTATATCCAAAAACTTTTTCACGTTTTGTTAGAAGTCAGAAATGGTTAAAACCCCTGTGAGTTTATTTTTTGTTGCCTGTTTCTTTCACTTCCTATCAGAGACAGAACAGGAAATGAGAACATATCTCTAGAATGTGAGGACAAACGCCATCTTAGACTGCTGCAGAACAAGAGTCCACATTGGAAAATTTCCACTCTTTTCCTATTCTATTGACAAACGTAAAATTTTGTATTTCCCCTTATGTTCTATTTTTCTGACATTGGACAACAGGAGAAGTAGAGAGGATGACTCTCCCTAGGACAAAGATAACAATAATACCTTGACAGGGTTTATAACCCTTACCTAGTTTACTCGAAACTAAAAAAGTGTGGGCTATAAATATAAGTTAACTTAAAATATAATTTAACAATTTTGTGAAATGCCATAGTGGCCAACCTACCAAATTAGGCATGAAACTGTATTTTTAAGAAGATCAATTACATAGTTTTTTTTTCCTTTTTACACAAAGCACCATAGGCACAGCAGTGGCTCAGTGGCTAGCACTGCTACCATGCAGCAGCAAAATCTTGGACTGCATTATTACAAGTTCACTCTGTGTCTTCTCCAACAGTCCAAAACATACATAATAATCTTTCAATAGTAATATGAATGGGTCAGTGTTCCCTATAGAGCACTGAAGGATATAACAGCTCTATAAATAAGTTGATAATACAATATGTATTAGTGTCTGTTATTTTTGCAGCCAGATTTTAATCACCTTATTGTACTTAGTTTACAGTAATGATTTCCTTACCCTCTGTATTTTCAAACACTGTGGTATGTTTAACAAAAGCCACATCTCCTTTCTCCTGCAGGCATCTGAAAAGAACAAAATGTTGGTTTCATTCAACTGGGCCATCCTTGTACCCAGAGACACCATTTTTAGAAAGCAAACTATAAAGCCACATTACATTTGACTTATGTTAGGTCAAATGGGCCCATGCCATTTTATGGCACCATCATGATATTTCTTATTACCTTAATGCTCCAGAGTATCCATAATATATCTCAGCATCACTGGGTGAGCATCTAGTGTTGAGCAGAGGTTTCTTGGGATCTCCAATACACAATTGACAGAGATTAGAATTAATATCAGAGCCAGGAGCACAGCTCTGACTGAAGTATGAACCTGATGGAAATACACAGAGCAAATAAATAAATAAATAAATAAATAAAGAATTCAAATAACAGTGTTAAAAAAATAAAAAACAATACTCAATGAGAAGACACAGAAACTAGAAAAGCTACAATTTCTGGGGAAATTGTGTGAAGTGTTCTTGCCTCCACCAATAGTCTACAACTGGAGTGGGTGGGCGGAGTAACTGGGTGGAGTGGCTTGAGTAACTGTGAAAAGGTTGGACTGGGCAGAGTAACTGTGTGGAGTGTTTGGAGTGAGTAAAGATAGTAAACATTACACTAACCAATTGACTGATCAAATTTAAAAAGTGCACATGGCAAGCTTGATAGAGTAAGAAATGCATTTCAACTTTTAACTATAAAAGCTACAATTTCTGGGGAAATTGTGTGAAGTGTTCTTGCCTCCACCTGGGTTCCTATGGCAACTCATTCTACAGCAAGGACAGAGAAGAGTGGCTAAAAACAAACTGCTCCAACTTGCTCACTTCACTGGCAGTTGCCATATTCAAACGGTTGTAGTTTAAAAATTATAAATCGTACACCAAAGAACTTTATATTGTGAGAATCACAAGACCCAGACCTATATTTTGATGCATAGTATGTCTGAAATATTAAAAATGAAGGCACAGTTGCAGTTTAGAATTTTCCCTTCAAATTTGAGGTGGCTAGAGTGGAGTTTCAATGAATGTCAATGGGCAGCGTGAGTTGCAAACAAATGTTCATATTGTGAAAACTATCAGGACTATGGCTTAGCCGTGGACATTTTTAGTGGCAGCAGGGATAGCTGAACATTTTGATATAAGAATTGTGTAGGTGGGCTTGAAAATGAGGAAAGATGGCAGTTTAGAAATCATGTACTGATTTTTCAGCTCACAAGTAGGCTTTTGTCAACTCCCACTCTAGTTTTGAACATTCCGCTATTCATTCCTATGGGACCAATTTCACCACAAAAATACTGATATTTCGTGACCCATTCGGCGAAACGTTCCACAAAGTAATAGCACACCAATCGGGAACAATCCGCACGTTTCGGTATATTACTGTCTATGTAGTGTAAAAACTGTGGGAGGAGTTAGGGTGGTAAATTTGGCTATAATAATAAGAATATATATGTGAGATAACAGTAAGTGGTCTTGCCATGCAAGAACACTTATTAAATATATGAAATAAATAAAATAAGAATAAAAAATATAATAAATAAACAAACAAACAAATATATCAACGTATATGCAGCCTCATGGAAGTGGTTCTTAATCCCGTGGGGCCAAATATATGTGTACCAGTATTTGTGCTGGGAGCAATGCACACTACCTACACAAAAACCGGGATCCCACCAAGAGCCCTGGGTCTCCTACCCACGATCGAGAACCCGGAGGCCTAGTTCCTGATCACCTGATCCCTGTGATAGCTTCTGATTGGCTATCACAGTGATCAGTCACTGTTCAGCCTGCCCATGTTTTGTTTTCTCCTCTTGAAAAATGAAAAAGATACAGTGTATCTTTTTCCATGCAAGGGAAAAAATGTTAAGAAGTGTGTGTAAAATAATAATAATAATAAACTAGAAAAGCTACAATTTCTGGGGAAATTGTGTGAAGTGTTCTCCACCAGTAGTCTACATTCATTCCTATTGGACCAATTTAACCACAAAAACGCTGATATTTCGTGAAACATTTGGCGAAACGTTCCACAAAGTAATAGCACACCAATCGGGAACAATCCGCACATTTTGGTAAATTACTGCCTATGTAGTGTAAAAACTGTGAGAGGAGTTAGGGTGGTAAATTTGGCTATAATAAGAAGAATATATATGTGAGATAACAGTAAGTGGTCTTGCCATGCAAGAACACTTAAAAAAAGAAAAAATAGCTAGATTGGGGTTTGATCTAGGTTAGGGTTAGGATCAAGGTAAGGGCCAAAGGTCATGGTCAGGTCAAAACTCGGGGTCAGTGTATTTTAGGTAGGATTTAAAAAGTATTTTTAAATGTATTATCAGTGTCAGTTAGTTTCAGCGTCAGTGTGCTTTAGGTAGAATAAAAAAGTAAAACATGCACTGTTGTTTCTAGACCCTACTAAAGGTACAAACAACAAATAACGTACACATATGTGTACTGCTGTGACCATAGGGGGCAGAAGAATTTAATTTGGGTTGTTCGTTGGTGGCAGGTTATGGTAATAGCAAGAAATATACAGCTAAATTTAAAAAAATTATACTTTTTTTCTCTTTTTGTGCTTGTTTTCCTTTGCTAATATAAACATAAACAAAAATGGAAGGGGATCTTTTCCCCTCCATCTAGCCAGATCAGAGGGTAGTCGGGTGTAAATGGACAGCAGGTCCATCTGACTGCCCATACAGGAGAGCGTGTTGCGTCTGTGTCCTGTGCTCTGTGTCAAAAACCGAGCGGACATGGACTTGTCATCCACCCGCTTTACTCTGCTCACCAGAGGATCAACAGACAGATCCCCTACTGAGAAAACCAGATCTAGCCCATGTGAAAGGGGCCTAATTCACCTGGATACAACTAGTTGAGATGATATGTATAGTTTTACTGACGCATGTCAAAGTTGCAAAACTAAATATTTTATTTTGTATTTTTTTATTGATTTATCGTCATTAAATCTTTATTGCCAAGGAAATGATGGGTATTTTATTTAGGATTGGTGAAGTGTCCTTTGTATAGTCTATAACAGTATTGCATTTTATTTATACAGAATGAAAAATTTTAACTGCTGGGGTATTTTGAGCTTGGCTTCAGAGGGATTAATAAACAAGAATGTATGCATATGTGAAGGTTGTTCTTTATGGGAATAGGCCTGAGAGATGTCAATTTTCCTTAACCCAGCCACCATGCTATGAATAAGAGATAAGAAGGTCTTCTGGAAAAACACAGGGTTTGAAATATATCCAAAATGTCTCACACATGTGGTATCCCCATACACAGGAGAAGTAGCAGAACATATTTTGGGGTGTAATTCCACATATACCAATGGCATGTGTTAGCAATATATCATTTAAGTGACTCTATGTTAAAAAAAAGTTATAGTAAAAAAAAAATTGCAATTTTACAAAAACTTGTGGCAAAAAATGAATTCTTCCATGGACTCAACATGCTTCTCAGCACATAGCTTAGGGGATCTACTTTCTGAAAAGGGGTCATTTGGAGGTTGTGTGTACTGCTCTGGCAGTTTAGCATATCAAGAATTGTGATTCAGTCAGAATGTAAAAGCTGTGTAAATTCCAGTATATACACCGTAGTTTGTAGACACTATAACTTTCACACAAACCAATTAATATACACTTATTGGGAGTTTTGTTTTACCAAAGACGTAGTAGAATGCATTTTGGCCTACATTTATGGTGAAATTTGTGTTTTATGGATATTTTTTATAACAGAAAGTACAAAATATAGTTCTTTGTCAAAATAGGCATTTTTCATTTATATCGCTAAAAAAGAAAAACAGTGGTGATCAAATACCACCAAAGGAAAGCTCTATGTGTGTGTAAAAAGTGCCGAATAGCAAAAAAAGCCCTGGTCGGTATGGGGGTAAAACCTTCCAGATGTCAGGTGGTTAAATGTAAATAATCTAGTACTTTCCTTTTGTTATTAAAGTGCCACATATTCTTCTATAGTTTATTAAACATGGATTATGTTGTTACCGCTCATGGGTTCGATATGGGTTCTTCTACAACATAATAACTGTATGCGCAGTGTTCCTGGCCTTTCTAACATGTCATTTGAGTATGGTAATTTTAAGGTCAAGGTAATCCTGAATGGGGCAATGTATGATGTCTAAAGAACAGAGTAGAACTATAGTATGTAATAGTGCTGTAAGGCACTAAACCTTATTGGACAGGTCATTATAGACCAGTGAAATGCCTGTTATTCTCATATAAAATTTAAAACATCTTGTCTGCACGATTATATAGCGCAATGGTGCTACACATGACACTATACTTACCAATATCACAGTTGTTGTTTTTCTTGTTGATCAGACCGACAGGAATATTCCATCCAGCAGTGCGACCTACCCCTGTGTGACAGGACTTCTTGCCTTTAAGGTTGTTCCATGTGATGTCTCTGTTCATTCTCTTTACAACAGCAACTGCATAGTATGTACCTTTGTAGAATCAAAAGAGGAGTTATTTCACAGTCAAATTTATTGGAGAGGCCAAGACCTAAGCTCCTAGTTCTATGACTTGATGGCCAGTACAATAAGGTCCTTCCCATGCTGCTTGATTATTTATGTACCAATATTCTTTAATTGGAGAATCAGTAGAAGAACCATTCTCTAGACTGGGAATGGACTCTGGACTGGGTTTAGAATGGTCATTTCTAACTCACTGACCTGTAACAAGTATGCAGATCAGAAATTTTGACTTCCAAGGATACTGTCATGGGGAAGTACGGGAGCTGCAATTGCAGACCTGATAAAAACAGTAGTTGCCTGGATGACTTTTGAGCAACAGGCCCAGAACAATCACGCTGTAAAAAGCACTGTGATGTAATCATCAATATCGCCAGGAAACTGCCACTCCCAAAAAGAGTTCAGCAATGGTAGCCTCCATGATTCTCACATGATGGTCTCTTTCACTTTTGCATTTTAAACTGGATGCTTGTTCTCAAAGTTAGTGACTTAAAGTAATGAAGCCAGAGACAGACAACTAGGGGTTTATTTACTAAAGCTGGAGAGTCCAAAATCAGACTCCCTTCTGCATAGAAACCAATCAGCTTCTAACCTCAACTTGTTCAATGAAGCTTTGGCAATGAAACCTGGAAGCTGATTGGTTTCTATGCAGAAGGGAGTCTGATTTTGGACTCTCCAGCTTTAGTAAATAAACCCCCTAGTGTTTCCAGAAAAATGTCAGCATGGTTTACAATCAATAATCTGGACCAGCTTCTTGAGTATGGCAAACGTTGACCCTGCCTGTGCAATGTTTTTCAGCACAGCTGCCTTTGGTCTCAGTCAGGGGTTCATGTGACAGGACAGCAAAGCAGGAGCACAATTGAGACAATTGTCACCTCATAACAGGAAGTTCCAGAACAAGGACTTTCATGGCAGGATTCCAAGGTATTATATTATTGAAAACTGCAGATTTCAAAAGTATGTAATGTTTTTTCATAGGCCCTAAACTTGTTAAAGCTGATATGAAATTTGAATGATTTGATTTACAGGTACTTTAAAGTGTAGGTTCTTTTTAACAGGCTAGGTTTAAGGTTGTCCACTTTTCTGAAAATGTACTACTAGTATTCTAGATTTACGATCACCTTTCTATTAATAAAATTGTCAATGCTATTCTGTTCCTTATGATCAGTTCCACCACCAAGCTGTTTTTCTCTTTTAAACTGGACCCTCTGTGCTATTGGGCTTAGTAGTAGTTTAGTAGTCCTATAGACTTCTATGGTAGTATTAACAATTTATCTAATAAAAAAGAGAAACAACACCCAACTTACTTTGTATTTTGGACCCACTGGTTTTGCATGGCTTTAGATCCTCTAAAAAACAGAAAATAAACAAAATAACACACATCATATAAGCTGTGATAAAGAGGCAAGTCACATTTTAGAATGCACTGACTCTGATTCAATGTGAGCCAGCTTTATAAATGCATAGTTAGAAGATCAGTAACGGGCTAGCATAAAGTCAAACATGCTGTCCATGGGACTAGCCCAAATGTGTATGCATTCATACATATTACAGCATTCAGTTACCCATTGTTTTTACTGTTATACTTTTTTAATTGGCAGTTAGTCCTGCCCACAAACTATAATTTTTTTTCATATTGAACAATCGAAAATACTATTCCTTAAACTGTTCGAATACACTTTGGGCTCTACATATAAATTCTTCAGCACTAAGATATGCTATGATTGCTCCATAGCTAACCAATATTTACAATACTGCCAAGAAGGATGGTAGCTGAAGCCTAAATGTTTGCTTTTGTTTGAAGACCCCTTTAAAATACAAATAGTTTTGCATGAACAAGTTAGTGCATAAGTTTCGCCATTGCGTCTTCTTCTTCAAGTGTTACTAAACCCAGGACCCTGCATTTACTATATCTGGTCTCCCACAGTACACAGAACATGGAAATGCAATTATTTTAGTAAATATAAACTGCTAAATACCTTTTCTCATCAGCAATTAGAGCAGTCTTGTGACTTCTCTCAGTGTCCAGCAGAGCACTGGTGAATGCTTGTAAGAGGTTTTCATTCTGCTCTAGCAGGATGCAGAACCCCTGACCCTCTGTCTGGACAGTGCTGATTGGCCCTGTGCTGATCACATGCACACTTCCAAGAAAAAAAAAAACTCTTTAGCAATACACACCAAACTGAGCATGTGTAGAGTGTCTCCACATGATATGTCTTATCACGAGAGATAACAGGGAAACACTGGAAGAAGGGGAGGATCAGAGAAGTCAAGATCACACAGCTTTTTTTACACAATGCAGATGATTAACCCCTTGGGTTCCATAGTGAGTATATCAAGCATGCTTTACTGCATATACAGACTGATTTTACTGTTGTGGGTTTAGTAACACTTTAATCTTCTTTATTAGAATTGGTTTTCTGCAGTATGGTCTTACCTTGGTTATAGTACTCTCCAAGTACAGGTACCAATCCACACTGCCCAGCTGTGTACATGTATCCTCCATCGAGTGTAACAGCATCTGCGTCACCTTTCTACAAAACCATCAATAAAGAAAATGTATCTGAAAAGTTTTTGTTTTGAACTAGATTAAGTGAATAGTCCAACAGGGTGTAAGTGATTGTTAAATACAGACAACTCCTTAATGAGCTATGATCATGGCCATAAACCATGTCCATGACCATCAGTTTGAGATGCAAAGACATACTAAAATACTGTGGACATAACAGGTTTTAGGGGTTTCAGGCACTTATAAATAATTATGCAACATATCAGCTTTTGCTGGACTATAGGAATTTAATGGCAACCTCTTCTTTATTTTGTAGAATGATCAGTGAGCACTGACCAGAAGTTAATGGGCTACATTGTATCGTAGTATATTCAGCATTCACAGTTTACAGTGTCTAGCACTATTACCATAACGTTCTGTAACTCCAGTATCCAGTTCCAACACACTCCTATGTACCCTGTACCAAATAAAAGCCGTCTCAATAGTAAGCAGGTACTAAGAGCTTAATGAGAAAATGTTAACCCAAAACACTCCAAACAATCTTCTTCCCTGATTTTGTTTAGATTAGAACTTTTTTATGGAAATTATCTAATGCCCCCCTGGCAGTTATATGGTTTACTATTATGGCAACTTAAAAAAAAATATGATTGTGTAATCAATGTTTTTATTCTTTTAGATATTCTCTCAAGGTCCCTGAAGAAGCAGCAATTTAAGCTGGGAAACACGTTGGATGGACTTTGCATGGGATGTTTTTAGCACTTTTTGTGAGGCTTCTTTGGTGTAATATTGTGGTAGATGGCAAATAATTGGGCTATGGTTTTATTATATGAAAAAAAAGTTTTATATACCTTAAAGCGGAGTTGCACCCAAAGGGGAAGTTCTGCTTTAAAGATTGGTCCCCCGCTCCCCATTAAGGATTGGCACCTTTGGGGAGCGGGGGAAGTGAGCGTGTACCCGAAATTGACAGGTACCCACTCCCACTTCCGCGCCTAGGCGTTCAGAAGTGGAAGTTGTACTCCTATCCTCCCTCCCCATAGTCTTGTGGGACACGTGACAGGTCCCAGAAGACGACGGGGCCATTCAGGGAGCACAGCACTACTCGCACATGCGCAGTGGGCCACAAATTGTCACAGCCGGGTGCCCACACTGAAGATGCCAGTGCCTGGAATACAGGACGGCTGGTGAAACTGGCTGTGGTGGGGGCACTGCGGGATCATGGGACAGGTGAGTGGCTGTTTTTTAAAAGTCAGCAGCTACAGTTTTTGTAGCTGCTGACTTATTTTTTTACAGAGTGAGTGGAACTCCGCTTTAAGTGTGGAGTTTTTTTTGCCTTGGTATGAAGCCTTTAAAAGCCCTTTTATGGAATTTCTTGTGTTCGTAAGATAATTTTCCTATTGGATGTGGCAACGTACATTTATTTGCCATGATATGGTAGCGTACTTCTACATTTTTTTAGGGAGTTCTGATTTTCTTCCTATATATTAGCATGTCATATTGTTTACCATTATTTGTTGAATACATTCATCAGCAGAAGAGGCTTCTGTACATTCAATGACTCCTCCACTCACAGGCGTCCAGTTATCACACTTTATCTTCTCCTGTCTGCTTTGCGTACACCAACGTATACTTTCTCGAGATGGTTGGCTTCCCTCTAAAGAATTTACAAGTGACAGTTGTAAAGATTATTTTATCAGACAATCCAAAGCTCCAACATTGATAATAACTTCCATCAATACAAGCCTCTTACCAAATGTTTCTTTGACCGAGTTGTAAAGGCTTGGCCCTAGATATAAGAAAGCATCCATGGAAGGTGGTAGAGGCACAATGTTCAGTGTAGAGTCTTTGAATAGAAGGTTTTTCCCATACTTGGAGCTGAACAAATTGCATTCTTTTTTCTGAAATCCAGAAATTTGTGATGATTTTTTTGTATTCCAGCACTAAGAACATTTATAAATGTGCACTATTGCAGTTACCTGAGAATACTGAAGAAAGTCTACAATATTTTTAGTCTTGTCACCTTCATTCCTAGTCACTACAGCATTCGCTGGAATTCTTGATAAGCTGCATTTTTTAAACTGGGAAACTGGTCTTCTGGTATTGTCTGGGCACAACAGCTGGAAGTTCTTATGGAGCTCAGCTTAAAGAGAGTTTAATATATGTTTAGAGGAAAAGCTGTTAAGGTGTGACAGAAGATAGACTGTAAAAGGAAAGGATGATAGATCATAATGGGCGATGGAGTATAGATTATAAGTGGGGAAGCAATACAGGTCACAGGATTGTAATGAAGATTAGATTACAGATGATGAAGGAGGATAGATTGTAGGTGATGATTAAGGTGAGGTTTTATAAAGATTTCATCAGAGCTGTTGGTCATGCCAATTAAAGGATAAGTTCACCTTTGTGAACATGTTATATGTTCCACCCATTTGTAAGGTGGAACATGTAACAGGTTCCTAATGCTGCAGCACCCACCTGCTGCCCCCCTCCCCTGTGACAGAAGTACAGGGAGAAGTTTCCCATACTAACTGTCAGTATTTAACAACAGCGCGGCCGTCTGGGGCTCTCAAACATTCTTACTGGAAAAATGTGCTTTGATCAGGCTGCAGTGCTGATCATTGTATTCTGATGGTGGAGGAGTCCCGCTGTCAGAATACAAAGGCACAGTGGGGAGGATTCCCCTATCCACCTCAATTGTGTGGATGGCGTAACTGTTCACTTTTTTCAAATAGCCCACTGAAAAAATACTGATAAAAGTATGGTCAGCTTCAGACTTGCTCTATGAATGTTACTTATCTCTTTTTAATAATGAAGTTGCCAAACACGTATTTTCTTTCTCATTTCACATGATGGATAGGCACTAGGTAGCAATGGAGGTGATGGAAGATAGTTCTAGCAGGTGATGGATGATAGAGTGTAATATACTGTAGGTTTTGAGATAGGATTGTTAATGATGATGAAGGATAGGTTGTAGAAGCAGACACAGTACAACAAACTACACACCTTTTACTACACTATCGTGCTGTTAAAAGCATTTTGTTTAAATAGCTCAGTAGTTCTTTATTTTACACACAGAATTGAGTATGAGGATGAACTCATCCAGTTTATTTGGATGTTTTAGGCAGACAGGGCTAGTCTGACAGGGAGCTCTGCTGTTTTATTAGCTAACCTTGAGCCTTCTGCCAAATTTTTTTCAGACTTTAAATGTGTATTTGTAAAATACTAATGTATTTTTGATTGCAATGTTACTCTATATTTTATATACAATGCCAACAGAAAGGCAATGGCAATACTGATGAATGTTCCTGGAAATGATACTGTGCTGCTGCCCTTATGCCTACAGACTGTGTCATATATCTTCGTTATTAATTGCTGCGTCGTCCCTGTATGACCAATGTTATTTGATTTCTTTGTAGTTTTTCATGCACAATTTGTGCCTTTGTTTCTTTAAAAGCAAAAAACATAATGAAAATGATCTGATTTAAAAATAATACTAATGTATATATGAAATGAAAACTAAATACATAAGAAATACAAGTTTAGAAAAAAAATAACATAAAAATAAAACTTGTCCAAAACCATTATAGTTATTGCTTCCAAAGGGTTTGCAATCCTGTATGGCCAGTTTTATCATCAAAGTACTCCTGCTAGGCAGCACAGACAGGGTCTTGATCTTCGATGTAGCACAGCTACCTCCCCCCAACCTGATTGTACAATGAAGAAGCAGCTGAGCATGTCAGCAGGGCCCGATTAGCTTCAGTGCAAAAAAGACATACCCATTGGAGGGATCTTCTGATAATCTATTTGTTATTACACAACAGTTCATGTGAAAATATCTAAAGGGACAAGCACGAAAATGTTTCTTGCAAGATAACAGAACACAGATTTTCCTGTAATTAGTATAGTATTTGAAAAAAAAAATTGAGTGACAAAGACTGAGCATGCTCAGAAATGAAAGAATACATTACAATACAATTACATCATAGCTGTATTTTGTCTTACGAAAATTTTCGTAACTTTAGTAACCAATTAATTTTTGATAGGACACTAGCATGAAAAACTCACTTTGTGTACTAGGCATTACCCTTCCTCTACTACTCTATAGAAGTGGTTCAAAGGGTTTACTTGTGTATGTATGGTAATGTGCAATTTTGAGTCCTCATGCACACTGGACATTTTTACAGCTGCTGTTTTTGGCTTTTGACGTTTTTTTTCTACAGCCAGTAAACTCCCCAGCATGTTATTCTATGTGTCCATGCACACATAGACTGTAATCAATGTTTTTTGGCTGTAAAATCCCTCTAGCGCTGTAAAACGTGGTAAAATGGCGCAAACTGGCACTTTTGGACTATTTTACCTCCAAAAACGCTAAAAAATGGTAATGTTAAAAATGGCTCTAAATGCGGAAAAACACCGCTAAACGCTAATGCAAAAACGCTAAAAAAAGCTGAAAACTCTATTTTTTTATGTGACTTTACACAGCTAATGTTACCAGTGTTATCAAAACGCCAAGTGTGCATGGACCCTAAGGCTTAACATATTTGGTATATATTTACTTGACACAACCTTCATCTTAATATTTTACAAAAAAATTGTATTTTACTGGGTTTATGTGCACTAAAATAATTAGAGTTTACTTTTTCCAGTATAAAATTGATAAGCAGTAGAGTAAATATTGTATGTCATAACAAAATTGCAACTGCCATCGTTTTATTTTACAGGGTCTCTGCTTTTAGAAAATGTCTAATGTTTTGGGGATTTAAAGTAATCATCAGGCCTAGATGTGCATGAAAAAAACCCTAAAGAGTCAGCAATAGGAATACCTTATAACTTTAGTAGCTAGTATGATGAGAAGAATTGAAAATGAAAGCATACATACATATACAGTATATAATGTAAAATATATATATACACAAATATATTACCTGGTACAGTCGTATGTGTCACAAAAGCTACATCACCCTTGTTATCTCTCAGACACCTGCAAATGCATATAGAGAATTTAAAAAGATTATTTCAATAAAATCAGCCCTTTAATTTTGTCTTCATAACGGGCATGATGTAGTGGGCTATTTTTATTAATAAAATAATTTTAAACTTTTAATGAAATAAAATTGGAAAAGTTTTAAATATTAAAAATTAAATATCCAATCAACACTAAACTGGTTACAGTTTGGTTACAGGATGTGGGTGTGCCAAAGTACTGATTTTTAATTCTTGTGGGCGAATAAATGCTCACTTTAGCCAAAAAATGTTCTTGTTTGTTTTGGATAGGATGAGCAAGGGTTAGAATGTCTGCTATCTGTGTTCCTATTGGGAGGATTTCTTTCAGATCTGATTGTTGTGACATGAGGACAGATAAGAAGGATATGTGTCACAGGGATAGAAAGACAAAGATGGCATCACTTCTGTGTCACACCTGTCATGGGTAAATCTCTCCTGTGGGGTTACAGGTAACAATAAGAACCCAACAGAGGTTCTTTCCCTTATCCATACAGTATAGCTGGAAACAGCTATAGCTGAGTAAATCGCATTATATACATTCAATCTGATTGAATAATCTCCTTTACTTCTACTAACAGCTATATAGTACAAAGACCTGCTGTTTGGAAACAGATATTGCATGGATTAGGTAGGTCCTAATATTACAGTTTTGGTAACCTAAAAGTTGATTGCACTAAGATTGTAAAGTCAGATTTTTTTTTAACATGTATGGTGATCCTTAAGCTGGCCATGCACTAATCAAAATGTGTCCGGATCAGTATTGTGGCCATTCCTGCTCAATGGAAGTCATTTGACATCTGTCCAAGGAACTTGTAGTAAATTTTTTTTTAAATCAGCAGCTGCTAATGAATGTACTCTGTGACGAACTAGATATGCAAGAGAGAGAGCACACGGAGACATATCACCCGCAACCTGACATGTGGGCGTTTATTGGGAAGTTTTGCTGGGTACAGACAATAGAACAGCTAGTCCACAGAACAACAGAAGACACAGCAATACAGTAGGGTTCTCAGGATGGCAATATGGGACAACAGGGGGCTGAAAGTCCACCGGGTTCAATAGGACAGAGCGGCGGGGGCACCTCAGGGGTTGGAGTCCATGGGCAAGGTTTTCGGGCAGAATTGGGCTAAGTCCAACACAGGGCAGAGGTCTGTGCACAAAGGGGTTAATCCAATACACAGAATACTGATCTGAGCAGAGAGGGTTGATGTCCACACAGGGCAGAGGTCTGAGCACAACGGGGTTAACCTAATACATGGGATGCAGATCTGGGCAGAGAGAGTTAAAGTCCACACAGGGAAGAGGTCCAGGCCCAATGGGGTTAATCTCATACACGGGATGCAGATCTGGCAGAGAGGGTTAAAGTCCACACAGGGCAGAGGTCCGGGCACAACCGGGTAATCCAGTACACAGGATGCAGATCTGGGCAGAGAGGGTTAAGTCTTTGGCACAGGGTAGCAATTCAGGGACTCACCAGCCAGCAGTGGCCCCAGCAGAGGAAGTCTGGGCAGATAGGCACCAACACCTCACGGATCTTTGGAGGGCTGTGTTTTCCTGGCCGCAGCTTCAAGACCACACAGGCAACAGTTGATGGAAGAGCAGAAGGCAGAACAAAGTCCCAGTGTCCAGAAAGCCACACAGACAATGTAGAACCACAAGTCCCAGCAGTGCAAAAGGCAAAGCACAGTTCAATGCTTCTCCAAGCGAGGCCTGCAGCCATTCTGAGAGTTTTTTTCCCCCACACCATAGAGACATTATATGGTCCTTTCAATTTGACCAAGCCTCAAACACCCCCCCCCCCCCCCCATGCAGACACGCCTGGCTTTTCACAGCCACAGGACACCGTGGCAGACAAGCTGACTGCTTGACACACTTGTTGATTTCAACAAAACAACACAAACAT